TAAATTAGTACACCTACTAAATAAATAAGGTAGCTATACCTTAGGCGTCTATAGTTTTGTAGCAAGGGATAGTAATAGCTTGCTTTAATAGGTAATTAATAATAACTATAATCTAATTGTAACTACGTTAATCCTAGGGAAAATCCTTAAAATTAATACACAGGTGCTGTATTAGTAGACTAGGGATAGGAAGGGGGTAGAGCATGCTAGGGAGTTAGTGCTGTCTTAGGTACCCTCTCCTGCATAGGATACAGTTCTAAACGTAGCGTTTATAGGTAGTCTCTATACCTTTCTAGTAGTAATGTTAGGCTAGAATCTAATAGGTTTTAGTAGTAGATAGGTAGGTAGTAGACACTTAATTATAAGCCTTACGAATTAGTCTAGTACATAGGACTAATCTAGCAGGCACGCAAAGCTAATCCTAGTAGAGAAGGAGTCTGTTTTCTATCTAATAGTGCTTAGGTAACTCTAATCTTTCTATTAGGAATAAGGACCTATTTTCTTAGAGAAGAGTTTTAATAAGTTCTAAGGATCTAAGAGTTATAGGGTTCTAAACTACTATAATTAAAGCAAGGATTAGTAAGGAACGCTTAGCTAGGTAGTCTTACGCTAAGTTAGAGTTAATTTAGGGGTGTAACCTATCTAGGGCAATTATTACTTGTAAACAATTATCCCTCTAAGTAGTCTTAAGGTTAATTATATCCTATTCCCTTCTACTTAGGATATTAGCTTAGGCATTATAAGATCTAGGAGTATACTTAATTTAGAAGTTAAAAGGACTTATAACCTCTAGCTATCTAGCTTGCCTAGCACTAAGGACTTTAGTAGATATAAAGTACTCTAGTGCTCTATAGTCTATGTATACTCTAATAAGGTGCTAAGTACTTATTAGGTTAGCACGCTATTTCTTAAAGGCGTAGATTATAGCAAATAATTCTTTGTTATAGATTTCCTAGTTAAGTTTAGAACTAGTAAGGGTCTAACTAAAGAAGGATATAGGGTACTATTTCCTATTAGGATGCTCCTATAAGAGGATAGCTATAATAACTCTATTAGAGGCGTCTATTTCTAGTTTTAGAGGGTACTTAGGATAGAAGTAAGCTAAGCTTAGGATTACTAGTAGGGTATTCCTAAGCTAGTTAAAGGCTTATTAGCATTCTAAAGTCTATATAAATAGGGTAGCAGGACTCTAGAGAGCAGTTAAGGGCTTAGCTGTCTTAGAGAAGTTTTCCACAAATTGCTAGTAGAATCTAGTAAATCCTAGGAAGGACTTTACTCTAGTTATTATTGTAGGAGTAGACTAGTTTCTAAGTGCTTTAACTTTGTTAGGATCTACCTCTAAGCCTTTGTTAGTAAGGATATATCTAAGGTAACAGGTATAGGTTGTATAGAATTCGCTTTTCTTAATATTAGCCTGTAATCTAGCAGAACAAAGACGCTTAAGGACTTTTTAAACATAGTCCTTATAAGTAGCAAGGTTTTTAGAGTAGATAAGGATATTATCTAGATAGGTAATATAGAAGTTATCTAAATAATCTATTAGTACGTTATTTATATAGCGCTAATAGGTTACAGGTCTATTACATAGCCTAAATAGTAGGACTTTGTATTTATAGGTACTATACCTAGTGCAGAAAGTAGTGTACTCCTTTAAGTTAGGGTCTATTTAGATCTTATTAAAGGCAGCACAAATATCTAGCTTAGTAAAGATTTTTGCTTTAGCTAGCTAGGATAATAGATTATCTATGCAGGGTATTAGGTACGCGTCCTTTCGCGTTAAGCTATTAAGCTTATAGTAATCCACATAGATCCTAAGGCCTCTATTTAGCTTCTTAACGCACAGGATAGGAGAGGTAAATAGGCTCTAACTAGTCTTAATAAAACCTTTCTATAGGTGCTCTTGTATATATTCCTTAGTAGCCTAGAGTTCCTTAGTATTTTAACAATAGAGGGGACTCTAGTAGTTTAGAAGGGGTTCCTCTAGGACTATCTTATAGTTATAAGGCTAGTAGATAGGAAGTTTGTTAGCCTTAGCCTTATTAAAGACGTCCTAATAGGAGTTATAGTTAGATAGGAGCTTCTAATCTAACAAGCGGGTGTTAAGAGTATCCTATTTAGATAGGGTTTAGATCCTACGCTTAATCTTATACAGGCTAGTAGTAAAGAATTTATTAGAAGATTTTTTTATATTAAAATAGAAAGTATTAGTAGAAATAGTAGTAATTTAGAATTTTACAGGTAGGGTAACAGTTAGTAATTAGACTAGGGTAGGTAGCGTAATAGGTTTAGTAGCAGCCCTATAAGCAGCTAGAATTTTAAGTATACTACGTATCCTATTAATTAAACTAGGACTATTTTAGTTCTAGTTCTCCTCTTAATCCTAAAGGGCATCTCTTTATAAGATATTATAGGTAACTAGAGTAGACAGCACTTGCTAGTAGAGTCGTACTAGAATAGGAGGTGCGGGGTCGTAGGTTAGAGGATATTTCTCTAGCTAGATTAGTTAAGATTTATCTATATTAATTAGGATTTAGAACTATTTTAGCTAGTGTTATCTAATAATATAATCCTAAGAACCTAAGTCTACTATTATAAAGGGGCAGTTATAAACCTTTTAGCTACTAACTATTATATAAAGCTAAATATAGTAGGCAACTAGGGAGGTAATCTAATTCTAGAACCCTTTAATAGTAAGCTTATATAGTAGCTTTTAGATAGGTACCCTAAGTATAGAAGAGATATTATAAGCAATTTTTAAATTAAGAAATAAGTAACCTTAGGCCCTAGTATCTACTAAAGCGTTTAGGCAAATACTAGATCTATTAAGGTATAGGGTTATACGTGTAAGTAAATAGGAACTAACAAATAATTTAGTTAAGGAAAGGTTTAATAGGTTATATTAAGTTAGGCCTAGGAAGGAGAATCCTCCTAGGCGTTATTGTTTCCTGTCTAATAGCTATCTAAATTAGTTAATTTAGCGGCTTCTTCTTCCTTAGAATTCTTAACAACCTATTCTACATCTATAGCCTAAATCCTAGGGGGTTTAGGGTAGTTACTAGAGAAGTGCCTAGGCTTTCTATAATTATAGCAATTTACTAGGATTCCTATTATAGTAGCGCTAGGAGTAGCTAGCGTAGTAGATAGGGGTTAATTATTTTAAGGGGTAGTGCCTTATTACTGTAAGTAGGGCATATAAGGTTTAGCTATTAAAGGTCTATTATAGTATTTCTAATTAGCGTCTAAATAGGACTAGTTTCTAGAGTGTTAGAAAGGGGTTAGTCCTTTTCTAGATAATAGAGTAGTCTAGGTAGAAGTAGATAAGGTAGGGTATAAGCAACATTCTATATTAAAAGTAGTAAGATAATCTACTATAGTCTTAAAATTATTGTGCTAATTCTATTAGAAAGCAAGATTTAGCATTATTAGGGAAGGTGTAATCTTTATCTAGAGGTAGTAATACTACTCTAATTAGGGTACTTCTCCTCTAATAGCAAGACTCTAGAATTATAACTTAAAAGCAGGGAACGTCTCTATATTAGTTATATATAGGCAGTTAAATATAGTCTAACTCTTAGCTATCTTATTTCTAGTAATAAAGTAAGTTTAAAGGAGGGTAATTATTTCCTTAGCTTTTTAGAATTAAAGACTTAGGGAATTAGATAGGTAATATAGCTCTAAGTATTCTCTTGCTAGTCCTAAGTAGTGTCCCTAGACTAATGCTATCTAAGCTCTAGAAGAGGGGTAGTAATTAGTATTAATCTCTAGCCTATCCTAAATAGATACTTGCTATTATCTAAAAGTAGGGTTAGTACTATTACTAAGTATAGAGATATTTAGCATCTTTTTAGATTATCTCTTAGCTTTTATAGTATATACTATAGGGTTTAATATAGAAGCTAAAGACTAGCTAGGTTAGGTAGTACCCTATATCTCCTTATAGAGAGAGGTGTTATATAACTAATTAGTAAGTTACTTAACTTATTCCTCTAACCTCTCCTTTTTAGATAGGGTTAATATATATTTATCTTTAAGGGAGGTGTTACTTTAAGATTTCCTAGGAGCATAAGGTACCTTAAGAGATAGATAGGAAGCAGGTCCTTTAAGGAGGGCGTTGTTAATTAAGTCTTCCTTATCTAATTTCTTTCTATTAGTAAATAGGCTTTTAAAAGTAGCTAAACTAGATACTCTTCCTTTACCTTTATCTAATATTTTGTAGTTAATAAGAATAATAAATCTTTTCTTTAGAGGGGGTTTAGTTATAAGAGGATATTAGCTTTGCCTCTAATTCCTCTAGGCTTTTAGTAGTCTCTAGGTCTCTACCTTAATGCAATCTAACGCAATTTTTCTAAAGGTAATCTAGCACCACCTATAGGTCTAGAAGTCTAAGCCTATAGGCTTTGGTTGTTAGAAGTTCTAATAGCTGTTCTAACTATAGAGTTGCAGGGTTAGGTAGCTACTAGAACTAAATTAGTAGCTTAAAATAATAACAAGTGCGATATTCTTAAATACTATTACTAGCTAGGATAATATTCTTCTTATAATATAACAACTTAGGTAGGTAGGGCATCTAAAAGGTATCTTATATAACTTAAAGGTATATAGGAGTGCGCGTTTATATAGAAAAGGATAAGATTCCTACACCTATAGGTCTTGTATAAAAGGATAAGAAGAACATGCCTATCCTAACTATAGGCGAGCTGTTCTCTATATATATAAGTAAGTTGGGCCTTTATTAGGCCTAACTTGGCATAGAACAATAGGTAGGCAATTCTGCCTTATTGTTACAATAATTAGGTACATTATATAAACTGTGTTTAAATAGACGCTAAAGTTAATACATATAATACTAATAATATATAAACTAAAAAGTAGTTTACCTTTGTAGAATATATAGTATAGTAAACCCTATTTAGGTTTACTTCTTGTACTTAAACTACTTTGTGGTCTACTTTAGATAAATATGGCTACTGTAAACCGGTTTTGTACCGTAGTGTAGGGGCTCACGCCGACTTGTCAGTAGTGCGTGCAACTGGCGCCAAGCGATCGCGGCTTGATTGGCTGTTCTCCAGATACTGGAAGTGCAGTAGAACTCGTTCTGCTTGACGTGCTTCCAGCCCTCGGTGCATTGAGAAGCGCCGGCCCAGCCCTGGCCGCCGCAGTGACTGTATGCCTGTATGGCCGAAGATGCGGGGGAAGAAGCAATAGACGAAGCGAATTTGACAGGCACAGTAGTAGGAATGATACCGGTAGGCGATCCAGTACCCGTATGTTTGAACATTCAATGCTGGTTGCTGGAGAGATAACTGGGGAGGTTTCGTTACCGGTAGGAGATGCACTTCCGCCAATGGCAAGAATGCGGCTGGCGCAGCCTCGGCAGCAACCACGACAATGGCCTGATTTTTACCCATAGAAGGATCAAGGCAGATGGAAGCATTGACAATGGAAAGAATTTCGGTCCCGTAGACCTTGGTCTCAGTATCGACAATTACGCCCGCATCGCCCTTACCGGTAGTGACTGTCTTGGGTGTGCCAATGTACTGAGATCGCGACTTGAAATCATTGATGCTATCGACAGCTGTGACACTGGTGATGCCTGTAGCTTCAATGATGCTCAGAGTAGAAATGTTGGTTGTAGTCATGGATATCAGGCGACCCATCATCTTCGGAGCTACTTTGATGCCCACTTCTGCGATTATGAGTGGCTTTTTCAATAAACGTCGTCACCATCGGCTGTGATACGGAGCCTACCAATAGACTGGGAACCCTGAGCGATAAGTCTTTTGTCTGGATCGTACTACCAGCTGGTGGACGGTGTGTTGCAATTTCTTTGGAAAAAGGCTTGACTTTCAAGACTCGTGGTAACAGATATCCACCAGCTTAACCGCTGACCGAATTGGGTCTGAAGGCCGGAACTCTTTGCATAGTGTTCGACGGCCCTTCAAACTGGCTCTGTAAAAGCAGTCTTCGATGTAGCGGTGAAGTTGGCTCTGGTACTAAACTTGATGGTAAAGATGGCAGAAACAATGCTTGATCTCAGCGCCAACGCGTAGTTCGATTCAATCAGACTTGGCTAGGGTGTTAACATTGCAGCTTTCAGACGCGACAGTCTGGAGCTGTTCGAGCTGTTCTGTTGGGCCAATGCCAGAATTGAACAAAATGCGAGGGAGTAAACAGGGCACTAGCAGTAAAGAGAACACACTGCCACTATTGTTGACCTTGTAAATGTCCGCTCGTTAGTTTCTGTCAACCAGAAAGAGTACTAAGAGCGGCCCATGATTTGACACCGGCGGTTTTTGCGTTCCATTCGCAGGCCAAATACGCCAAATCGGCCATTGTGTTATGTAAGACCACAGGAAGAAGTACTTGGGTCGGTCGGAACATCATGCGAGAAAGCCCAACGTATAATATGGTTGTCTGAAGTTGTGTGAATGGCTAGTGCTTATAAGACATCGTCGCTGATGGAGTTTGAACATAGAAGCGTGTAAGAGAACGCAGTTTGGTCAACAAAGGTACCGTAAAGAACTGGTGACATAGTGAAGTCACCAGTCGCAGCAGCAGGACTTGTGTAGCTGCTAATAGTTCATAGTGACCGGCATATGTATCAATGGCTTCGCCACTTGTGTTGCTTTCCCAACCGAGGACGCAACCTCATCCTTATTCAACCTTACTACTATAAGAACATTGACAGATATAGCATGGCCCATGCTGAACCCAGGCCAAGCGCGTCCACTGGTGATGGGTGCCTGAATTTGAATTGGACCTTTGGTTTTTAGGCAACGCTGCCAGTACTATCTTCAGCATATGGCGCAGGAATACAGGCTACGATACGAAGAGGGAAAACCGCGGACCATGAAAGTAGTAAAGCGACATGATGGCTGCCAACGAATGTAGATACCGGCAAGCCGTCAAGACTGTAAGAAAATGCAAAAAGAAGAGTGTCGGAAAGAACAAGATGAGCAAAGTCGACGACAGAAGGCCGGATTGAGGTTGCTATTAGAAGTTCCTTATGGTAGGATTTGCTCTATATGTATACTGTGATCTGGCAGCGGGACTAACAGTGCTCAATCTTTGCACTAGAACGATTACTCCAGCAGCGTATTCCAAATAAAGAGCCCCGTATGGCACAGCCGCAAACCCAGGAGAACTCCACCCTCTGAACAGGGCTGCAAAGCAACACGCCTGGATATAGCTCTCCAGGCATACTACAAGTATCGATCTTGCTGGCACGGTTACAGAAGTTTAATTAGCTGTAGCGCTCGAGAGGATAACTGATGTAGTTACTCAGACCACCTCCTGCGACTCAGTCAGAAAATCTTTGAAGTTGTAGCTTCAAAACACAGTCAAAGCAGGAAATTGGCACCCCTTACAGATTGCCATGGGTATTGAGAGAAATACATGAAATTTCATTGTGCCCTGTTCAATTGCGATGCGGGTTCTGAGCAAGATGGAAGTGGACTGATTGCACAACCGGGTGAAAACATTGCTACGGTAATCCTATCGCTCAAGGACGTTGCAGCTGATGATTGGTGGTACGAACACCTCGATATAGATAATTCGGTATGAATCTGATGCCACAGGTCAGTTCTGGAGGTCGAAAGCTACCTCCTACTGGTATAGGTGCGTGAGAACAAATAAGTATCTAGGGCCACTTCTTGAAAGTCACAGCCATCGATACTTGCAACAAGCTAAAGTCATTGCTAGCACCAGGTGAACCTCCCTCAATGTATGTACTATCTTTCATATTTTTGCCTCAAGTGCTAGAGAAGAACTATTATCACGGGTTAGCCGAGGATAAGGATCATGACGTAGACACGACTCCAAGCTTCGCCTCAGAAGAATTCACGACGAATGCGTTACACAGTACCAGTAACGCGTTGAACACCTCCAAGTTAGGCTGACACTGAAAGGCGACTCGCAAGTTTGTGAGGGACGCTGAAGTGGAAAGGTGGGGTAAGCTAACTGAACCTCGGTCTGCATGGTAGGTATCATTTACACCCAACATCTCAGAGCCTGTATGTATAGCCTTCGTGTTGGGTACATCAACTGAGCTGGACTGGAGCGGATACTATTTATCACAGCCCAGTACGGCAGACATTTTAAAATTTACAAATTGTTGAAGAAAGTCACATTTTGAAATTCCAAAGATGGCTCTAAAGAATGAGGTTCCAGCTTACGTGCTGGGCGTTGGTCTCACAAAGTTCATCAAGCCTCGCAAAAAACGCATGTATCCAGAGATGGGCTACGAAGCTGGTGTGAAAGCTATGCTTGGTGCCCACATCAACTACGACGATGTCGAGACTGGTGTTGCGTGTTATTGCTATGGAGATACAACAAGTGGTCAACGTTATACGTGAAAGGAGCCCACTCCACCATCAAATACAACATATGCTCTATGAATGCTGACGTAAAGACCAATGAAGTGCGTGGAACAAACGTAGGCGGTACGCGTTCACGCGCAAACACGTGACATGGGTGCATAAGGAGAGGGAGACGAACGATGTACCGGAGAGCATCTCCTAGCGCCATGGCTGTCAACCTTGGACAAGCCCTAAATGGTACCTGACATGTGATACCGAGAGCCCGCGCCATCCGGATCACTGTGATGATGCTGCCACAATTGCCGCGCACCAATCATTGCCGTGCTCTGACCCCTGTGGCGCGAGCATGTGCTTTTGACGAGGAGGATCAAGAAACGGGCTGAACGAAAAGAAAACGGCAATGAGTGCATGTGTTGGGAGATGCTCTGGCCTGTTGAAGGCACTAAATCAGCCTGAGAACATGGCATCATTTCTCAAATCTCATGCTCATCTGAGTCATCTATTTTGGTCCCGCAATAAGACGCCCTAATCTGCATCCTCAACAATGTTCACCTATTCAACCGGATACCATCAGCGCAACTGGGTGACTGAAAAGCAAAAGCCCCCCCCATTCACTTCGCAGCGCTGACAGCAGCCCGTCCAATGACGACGTCTAGAAACGCCATTCTCGTGAACCTTGGGAATGCAAACGTCGGGCTCACGTTCATGGAGGCGTGATCAATCCATCACATTCGCCATCCGCCGTGTCAGCCTCTGGTTCATCTATCCGTCTTGCTTTTGCTCCAATAGCACCGCCAGGGTGGTTCTTGCGAAAGACAGTTTCCGTTTCTTCTTCGTGCAGAGCTTCAGCTACAGTCAAGGCCAGCATGTCGCCAACGGCGATTGTAACTGTTGTGCTTGTTGTGGGTGCGCATACGCCGAATGAGACTTCTTCGAGCTCGTGGATTGGGGCGGGAAGAAGGACCGCATTCGGACGCTGATTTATCAGAGGACAGTCCGAGGGCTTTGTGTGAGAAGTTATGGCCAGAATCGGGGTGTGCAGTGGGATATGGGGGAGGAGAGCCATCAACTCGGCCGTCTTTCCAGAGTAGGAGATAAACATGATTGCATCACGCTAGGAGTTGTTAGTATCTTGCATCTAATCTTCAACCCTGTTGAAAAGCGGATTATTTTTCTCGACATACCTTTTTGATGTCTCCAAGATCCCCATGCAGCGCTTCTGCGGCGTGCAGGAAGGAACTCGCTATGCCCAGACTTTTCATGGTAGCTACCATCTTCCGGCCCACGAGCCCGCTCTTTCCCACTCCACAGATGATCAGCTTGCCCCCAGCGTCATTGACATTAGTCAAGACTTCGACTGCTCGCAGCAGACCATCCCGCGCAACATGGTCAGACTGGTACAGAATAGTCACCTGCGACAGTGCAGTGGCGGCAGTGGAAAGGACGTTGACGGCGCGGGAGAGGAGACGGGTTCCTTCTGAATCGCTCGCGGATAAAGGCGGCGTAAGTGGCAGGCTATCAGAGCCAGCGCGTTTTCGTTTATGAGAGGTCGAGATTGCAGAAGAAGAGTGGTATATGTGGGTATCATCGAAGGTTGTCATTATACTGTTTGTTGAAGTGGTGAAATTAAACAGCAATGCCACTGCAGAGACAAATGCAATAAGAACCAAAAAGCCCGGCGAGCTATGTATGCTAGCAATCGATGGCGTCCAAGATCTCGTCGTCACCGCTCGGGAAGGCTCGGGGTTCACTGAAACGAACAGGCGTAGTTCACTGGCGACAAAAAGCCGTCGACAAGTCAGTGCAGGCCAGGAAGAAACAGGCCTTGCCGGAACCAGAAAGGCTGGAGGGCGGAGAGCTAACAAGACAGCATTAATAATAACATTCCATATTTGAGATGGAGCAGGTAGGTAGTAGGCCAGCCAGACCAAGCCCCCAGAGCAGGGGGGAAGTTTTCCACCTTTGCGTTGGATCGGATATCTAGAAACCCGGCGGCGCGACCCATGCCTACAGTAGAGTACAGTACAGTACAGTACAGTAGAGTACCCAGACCCGCGACAAGACGACTAGGTAGACAGAGTGAGAGTGGTTGATACAACAAAGAAATGAGAAACACGATGGCGACAGCCGGGCCACGAACGCCTTGACCCCACCACGTCCACGGGTGGCCCTTCGCCATGACAGGGATGGCGGCAACACGCTAAGCCCGATCCAGTCTTACGCGATGTCATCCATTACGCCCAACCATCAGAACGACCTTCGGCTGCACCGCTGCCTCTGATCGTGGCACAGAATCCACCATCTGCCCAGGCCCACGCAACACCACAACACACCTTAACCGGGCCCTGGGCCTGGGTCTTTGCGAATTCGCCCTGCCCACGACTTGCCTCAGTCCTGCCTCAAGCTCATCCGAGCCGGCGGCATCTCCTCTGCTTCCGCGAGTCTGGCTTTGCGCGCCCCCATGCAGACTAGCGTCTCCTCCCGTCCATCCAGCTTTTGCATCCCAAGCTCCTGGCGATAGAGTTGCTGGGCCTTCTCCGAGCCAGCCAGCAATTGCATGAAGCGCAGATGGGGCATCTCGAGCACTACTTCGCGACAGCAGTGGATGATCCATTTCCCAAGGCCGAGAGAACGGTAGGCGGGTTGCAGGTACACGTCTGTGAGGAGGGCAAACGTTGTGTAGTCGGTTATCAAGCGCGCCATACCGATGGCTTTTGCTACTCCATCATCAGCAAAAGCGTAGAGACCGAGCGAAAGAGATTCGGAGAGCATCGTCTCCAAGGCTGCTGGCGATACAGGCGTAGCCCAGAACATGTCTTCCGTCGCAAAGGCTTCCTGCACGAAAGAATGGAAAAGGGGGGTATGATGGGATGAGACGATGAATTTGCGTGAGTCGATGGTGCGCTGCCATTGCCAGACTTTCTTTTCCATCTTCAACCCTAGAATTTTTGGCTGTTGTAGCTGTGGTCGTTGTCGTCGACCTGATCTCGAACTGCCTTTACTTATAGCGTTGCCCTTATCGTGGGTGGTGAGTCAAATCGTCGGCAAATTTGGCATTCTCCAACTATGACTCCAGAATTCGCGCCCTAAACGCCAGATTAGGACTCGAAGTAACAACATGTTCGGCATTTCCACTGCACGGAAATGATCTCGAAAGACGCGAAGTTTGTCCGTACGCAGGCATGCTCCAATGGTTGTGTCCATACCGTTTCTCTAGGGTGTATAGCACCGCGCCATATCACGTCCAGATTATGATGACAGGCATTATTGGTATTGTGATGGCGTGGGAGACGAATGTGTGCTATTCGGCCTGCAAGCCAGGGATATCAACAATGTTACTTGACTCTCTCTTTCGGGACATCACTTCCAGGATACAACACTGGATGCGGCTAGTTACTGGGTATATGATGCTGTGGCTAGTTTAACATTCAAGGCTTACATTGATTCTAGACCGATTGTTCTTGGGCTATCTCTTTGCTCAAACTATAGGAGCGTAGAAGTTGAAACGACCATGAGGGTCATACCGGTACTGTTTCTTCAAGCCTCGTAGCTTCTCTAACCGCCAATCTTCATACCCATACATCTCTTCCATACTCTCGTCTCCCCTGGCGTAATTCACATAAGCATGATACTGCACCTCTGTGCCCTCCAACACCGCATCCCTTATGTTTTTTCCCAATCTCCAGGGCGACGCCGTCGAGACTTGCGTTCCGTGGATACGTCAAAACCGGTGACAGCAGCAATTTGCCCTCTCGGTTCGGGACTGCTGTGCTGTCGATGGGAACGTCAACTACTTCCTGCAAGGCGAACCCTTCAAGCATCATTACAGAAGTGCGGAACTCAAGGGCCATGGCCGTGAAGATATCGACAACTTTTCGTAAATCCGGCATTGAGTATTCGTTGCGTGTGACGGGGATCAAGCTGCGGGAAAAGCCTTTTGCAGACGATGCGCCGTCACGGTTGGCCTGCAAAATGTGTGTTGACACCTGCTAGGTCTGTGATACTCTCATCGACTGTGATGGGCGAAAGAGCGTAGAGTGGAGCTGTGTATTGGGATGGTATTGCTGCACCTTGCCAGTAGATCCACATCATGATAACTGGCTATGGCTTCTTAGTCTCGATAGCTGAATGCTAGGCCTGGGCAATCTTACATTCATAGTGTCGATCTCAGGGTTGTGTGCGAATAATCCGTAATGTGTCATTTCAATGGGTTCTCTCTGGACTCTGAAGCCACTCATTGGCAAGAGCAAACACCGCCTCCATCTTGTCGTGCGTGAAGACGAAGCCACTTGCAGCCCACTCATCCTGCTCTGGCTTACGATCGTATATTTCCAGTTCAACCTGCGTCACAACACCAAAGTTATGCCCCGCACCGCGAATCGCCCAGAACAGTAGGATGGTTGCACAAGATCTGCATCGTTGCACAAGAGGGGCAGCTTGCAGTTCAGCTCATGTCGTGTGGTGTATAAAGTTAGTACCCCATGATGATTCGCTTTGAATGCTGTCAACTAACAGCTGTTCTGCATATCGATGACATGCATAAAGATCTGCGCTACGGTATGTTCTCACCAACATCGCGAACACATACTCCACTGGGGACATTGGGTAGTCACTGTGAATGTATCAGATTTGCTTGGACGCCAACATGGAGCTGTAAGGTGATTATGCAATTTGCTGCAGCACCTGAAAAGCCAATTTAGACATCGAACCCCGATGTATGGAATTCTGTGTACCTAACACATGGGAGAAGAGTTGTGGGCTGGAGAGGGAAGGTGCGGTTCCACAATCGTCTCACGTGCAGACTGAAATGCATGATAAGCCCCCACCTACCTCATCTTCCCCCGGCAACCACCTGTTCGTGATCACGTTCCAGATGAGATTGAAGTATTGGAAGATTTCGAATCGCAAAAGAAAATGGTGAGCCTACTGCGCGTTCGTCTAACGCCTTGTTACCAGCCTTGGATGGTATGATGCGCCATGGAAACATACCGGTACCTACCAGACGTAGCTTACCGTACTTCAATGCTGGCGTACCGGTACTGCCAGCAACGACGAGTCACATTTATAGTCATACACACACACACACACACACACACACACACACACGTTGAGGTAAGCAGCACCATTAGCTTAGGAAGGCGTAATGGAAGGGTTCACTGCCATGTTTCCTTGCTTTGGGCAATGCGAAGCATCCATAGCCAGATTGTAGAGAGACAGCATCAGAACTCTCCGACTCACCATGCCAAATCATTATTTCCTGCCGCTCATTCTGTCTGCAAAACGTATTTTTGGCTTGCATATGTATACGAGAAGGATCGACGATTGGCGAATCACTATGTAGAGTAAGCAACTACTGTAGGTATGGCAGATTGGCGCGCGGTTGATTTGTTGCGCATTGATATTTTCCCCGCAATAAATAGGCACGGGTTTTTTGCACATTGTCTCAGCTGACTCTATCGCAGACATTTCCGTGCATTCGTATAATTTTATGCTGAAGACGAGGCTGCTTCATAAAAAATTCGTGTTTCCACCCGCTATGGATCAGACTCGATTAGGTCAAGTATATACCGGTACTGAGCTCGAAAATAAAAGCTAATTTGGTCCCAGTGACGTAGAAAAAAAAAGAAGCGCTGGCGAAGCGCTGGTATTTCCTGGCAAAAGCCATCAGAAGTGGCGTTTGGGTTACAACCTGTCAGCTACGCAGAATAAAGGGGCTCCAGTGAATTAGTGGTAATCCCTTGCTAAGGTAAATGGAAGCGGCATGGCAACCCTCCCGAACGTCCAAGAACCAGTCCATGACACCCTTGGAAGAATGGCGTCGGCCATGGATAGGAAATGTAGTCTTTCCCATCCTAAAAGCTCTCGTCCAACATGTACCGATATCACGGCTTTGTGTCCCGTGCCCAATGAAATCTACGGCGTAATGTCTACTGCGGCTATCACACTTTACCACGCCGCATCATGATGGCGGAAAACGAAAACACCGCTAGCTGAAGTGCAAAGCATGACTAAAATCACGTAGGCGCTGCAAGATCAGGATAGCCCTTCCTCGCTTTTTTTGCCTTTATTCGGCAGTGATCGCGATGCATTTGATGAATGCACTGCATCGCACGAATGTACACACTGCAAACTACGCTGATCCTTATGTAGATGTATGTAGCATGGAGATCCGGTATTAAGGCGGTAGGTAATATATCCAAATCCCTTACCATAGCAACTGATACCGTCGACGTTGCACGCTATAGAAGAACAGGCGCTTGAGTACCAAGAGTGCATCAAAACACGGCAGAAACCGATATTCTCAGCCACGCCCAGGCTTGGACACGGCATTATAGAGCCAGATGCGTGTCCCGCTGGATAGGTATCCTTCTGATCTAAAACACGGCAAGTCTCCATCAACCTGCCCTTCCAAGTTGAGTAAGTCAAGACGAGGCAGGTGCCATGGGTGTCTGTCTATTGCTTTCCAAGTTCCGCTAAGCAATTCTTCTGAACGTCGATCCTACGATGCCAGGTTCGAAGCAAACATGTGGGGGATCAACAATACCGGTACAAGTGCACTGCGGTTAATTCAAAAGGACCGATAACGGATTTGCTAGGAGGCAGAAGAAAGATGCTTGGACAAGACGACGCCTGGACAGCTTCCAGGAGACTTGAAAATTCGAAGCTGTGTTGAATGTTTTTGCACGTCATTTTGTCGCAGAATCGACTGCCGTTTGTTGTACGTTTTGACGTACTCATCAAGTCTTTTTGAATGATCGTTGACAGTTTCAAATCACCCTTCTTGGGAGATGGTACCGGTACCATACCCATGGTACCTTATCTGCTATCAAAGAAGCCTTGTATTATGACGAAGGGTCATGGGTACTATGTCCCTAGATAATATTCACATATCCAGAGCTCACATTACTCGTTACTAATCACGCGCTCGTAGTTTCTTCTCTGCCATTGGCTCTACACCGAGGCCCATGTTAGTGTCTGACTCGAAGGCTGATCGCTTTGACTCTGTTTTTGATTGACGGTCATCACTGATGCATGAGATCGAACAGTAACTACAATTGCTTTTGAGGATATCTTACGCGAAGAGCCTTGGCTTGCAAACCACGGATTAAACTATAAGTCTGCCTTGGCGAGCATTGAGACTCGAGAGCTGAGCTGCGACGATGCAGGGACCGGGAGCCAGCAAGCGGCCCTCACATCGGCCCGCTCCCGCGCTTTTTCTCATTCGAGCTATACCACGTCTTGAAATGGCTCCTGATGCATCATATCAGTCATAATCAGGAATGGTGATTGGGTTCAGGGGCAGGAACCTTGCGCGTTATCCGAATCTTCCCTTGGACAAGAACTCCGCCGCATCATCGCATATTTGTGGGCTAACCTGCATTGCCGCTCAAGACCTCACATGCACAGCATCCTTTCAGGGCGCCCTGAACTTCTTCTCCGATGCTTGCTCATCGATTACGCACCCAGGAGTCCACGAAGATTACCATGTCGAGCATAGCATGCGTTTGGACAGATTTCCGTAACGATGCCGATGCCGACCAGTGGTACGGGGATTCGCACATACCAGCCGTCGTCGGGAAACTCGGGACCACGGCAAAAATTGCAGAGAAGGCAGAAGACAACGCATTCAAAGAGGTCGCCGCCATCCATGGGACCTTTATGACAGTGTACGACCTACCGGATGGCCAATCCACTGAAGATCTTGAGGTGCAATTACGCCCGGCTCCAGACAAGCTTCCTAAAGATGCACGGGTGCATTCACGGATCTACACAGAGTTTGCAGGCTGGTTAGGGGATGATTGGCGAGGAGGTATGCATATCTTCAATCAGTCCCAGAGGTTCACGTCAGCTTACCCTTCTCACAGATGAGCAAGATATTCAGATGTGGGTTGTTGTGCGTTGGCAACCAGTCGATGCGGTACACGATGAGTTTGTGGAATGGTTCACAGAAGAATTTGCACCTGGCATGCTCGAAAGCCCGGAACTCCTTCGCATGCGTTTATTCAGAGTCGACAACACGTCATCATTCAAAAATCAGGAGTATGAAGAGAGGGATCTCAAAGCGGTGTTTCAATACATGACATTCTGGGAGTTCGATTGCGATGAACTACCCTGGGAGATCCTCGTATACCTGGGAAGCTCGGAGAGGTGGAGGTATTACGTTGAGGGCGGATACGTGGTATGCCCCTGTGATGCATTTTCGCATGAAAACACTTGCTGACACCATGATAGAATTGGCAGATCGCACAGTACCTGGTGAACAAGATATATCCTGATGACAAGAGTACAGGCTCGACCTCGAATCGCGCAAGTATTGCCATGCCCAGACGAGCTGTAGGTGCATCGGATGCGTCAGACTCCGACGATAGATCAGCGAGGGATTCAGATGATGATGACATACACCAGAATGCGGATAAGAGAGGATCAGATGGAGGTACACACGGTGAGCCATACGTAGTACGCTGAATCAAGGGCAGCTGTGCTCTGATTTTGACTTCTCGTACATGTTTAATCGTCCTTGCGTAATACCCACTTGGTTCCGACCGTGTTCTACTAGGACATGGCCTCTGTGATTATCAGCTCTCAAATAACAACAAAACGACTATTTCTATCGCTTTGCCAGTGCATACAGTGCCATCTCCGAGTCCGCTTTCCCTTTCAAACGACTGTGCCTGTTCGATAGAAGATGGCGTGAGGCTTCAGACACTCTGAGCCCAGTCTGTGGCGAAGGTGGTGACATCAAAGTACCAAACATTCGCGGTCGATTGATTTTATAGCTTGCTGGCCGATTGACATGCCGCGAGGTCCTAGACCTGGCGAAAATATTCGCAGACGGTGCTTGTGAAGGGTATGTGAACTTGGAAGTGATAGGTAGGCTCTCATCAGTCCCAGAATCAATCAAGCCACCCGAAACTTGCGAAGAAGAGTCTTGAGGCCCGGCCATACCGGTAGGTTCCGATCCTGATGTCGCGGCGTGTACAACAATATCTTCCCCCACAGTCTGAGAGCCTTGACCAACATTGGAACCCATAGACGCAGAATTGAGCTCAATCGAATCACCCGCTGCTCGACGGTTTGCCCGAAATTCCTGTCCAAAGACCAGTGTGGCAGATTGTTGCTGTGTCAGCATCGGCTGTACGAAGGGGCTGTTTGGTGGGTTCAATGGTGTGGATGGGTTATCCCTTTGTTCAACGAGCCTTCCTTGGTTTACAATCCGGATACTACTCTTGTCGGGTACATTCTTGTCATGTTTGCCAGGTGCGGGTCCTGCCAACGATGCGCGAGAGAGTCTGTGGAACAGGGGTGACGTTTCTGAACACTTAGGCCCAATCGACGTTGCTGTGAACACCTTCTTTCGGTGCCGCTGGCTTGTGTGTTCAGGACTAGATTCTGTTCGTTATTGTGGGTGTGAAACATTGACCTCGCTTCGATGGGACTTCAGGATTGCCTTTCCACATGACCGACAACAGGTGCAATGAGGGTTAGCGTAGTCATTCTTCCTCTGTGGTTGCAAACAAGTCGCATTTACTTCTGCATGGTTTCGGCTTTTGGCCTGGTTGACTTTTCTCTTCTGTTGAGCTTCCTTTCTTCCTGTCGACCGCGTAGATGGCCATTGTTTATACTCAAGGGATTGCTGAATGCCGACGAATCTCGCACAGAAATCAACACCATTATGGTCTGGGTTCTCTTCGATATTGACGTATATTCTTCGCCTACCACGTATGTCCCTCATGTCCTGTATCATTTGGTAGACACCAATACGTCCTTTTTTCCCGCCACTGTCTCGTTTCCGTGCATACACGAACTGTAGTCGTGATCTGCTAGACTGCTCCTCAACCGAGGTCTCGGGCGAGAACAACACACGAAATGTGCCGCGGAAGCCGTGCTTTGCCAGTAGATTGAGTACCATGGTCGTCACAGCATCAGAGGAATGAGCGTTAAGAATAGGGATTGGAAAGGGACCCGCTCAGCGAGGTCGAAGGCGTAAGTGCGACATATCTCACTAAACTGAGAGCAACGGGATTATCGAGGAGCTGTGGAAGGCGCATACCCCATTGATGCAAGAACAACTACGAAATGGAAGGCTCTATGCAGAACTAGTTCTCATGGTGTGGTCTAGGCACTGTTATATGCCTGTTGTATCTCAGAGTATGCTTCAGGGTGAATCAGTCCCTCTTGGATATTTCCAGGTTCGAATCTTGAGGGCTTCAGAGCTCATGGCAGATAGCACATGAATATGCAAATATCGACTAGTTGTTGGACTCTACGACATCTTGGTTCCCTCAAGCTTGCTTACCTACAACCAGGCAGAGTCAGGAAGCACGCTCCCCATGAGTCGTAAATGCAGCAGGCGCACATGCGTCTCGTATATCTTGCACCTGGGATAGCCCATTCCGGTCGTTGTACAACATCCTTCTGGAAGAGGCTTCTCGGTGGTTGCATCGTTGACGGGCCTGGCTGATACCGGTACCTACCCGATATTGAAAGTGCCTATCCGTATTTCGATACGGCGACATGTGTCACAAGGGACTGGGCAATCGAGAGTACCGGTAGGAAGGGAACGAATTTTCAAAAAGACTCCAAGGCAGATGTCACAGATATCTTTTCACGGGAAGAGCTATCTTGACATGAACACGAGGTTTTAGTGGGATCTGTCACTACGGTAAAAAATTGTTTACTGTAGAATGGTACGCTAGGGGTTTACTATATAGGTGTAAACTAACCTTATGTATACTTATAAATAGGTTTAAAGTAGTAGTTTACTTTTTTATAGTATAAATATAGTGTGGTTTACTATAGACCTATTAGTAGAGTAAATAAAGTAGTTTATAATAGACCTATTAGTAGAGTATATAAAGTAGTTTATAAAAGACAAAATATAAGTGTTAGGTATAGTAATAATAGTATTAGATTTTTTTTAGTATCCTTATATAAACTACTAGTATATTATTGCCTATCCTGTCCCTAGGCCTAACCTGCCTAATTAACAGCCTATACCCGCCTAATTAATAGGCCTAAAACTGCCTAATTATTAGCCTATACCTACGTAATAATTAGCCTATACCTACGTAATTATAAGGCTATCTACTATATACCTTACTTATTTTTAGAAAACTATAGTATAATATAAATTAAATAGGTATATAAGTAGTATAACTACATAGTAATTAGTATAAGTTAGTATATCTAATAATAGTCTAGCATAATATATAAATAATATACTTACTAGATAAATGCTAGTATATTATATAGTAATAGTGTTAGTATAAAGAGCCTAGTACTATAAAGCTAGATATAGACCTATTATCTTACTTAACTATAGGTAGTTAGTCTTAGACTATCTATATTTATTAATAATATATAGCTTATTACTAGGTTAAAGTTAAGTGCTATATCTATAGTAAACTATAGCTACTCCTATAAGGTTAATAATTATTATTGTTTAAATCTATTTAATACTATTATTATCTTCTATTATCCTCTAAGGTTAGGCTAGTTAGCCTATAGCAGCAGCAGGTTATATCTATTACTATTAAAGTACTCCTGCCTATTTAGAGTTATTAGCTAGATCTTAAAATAGGTATATTACTATCCTAAAGGAGAGCTAAATATAGTTATTATAATTATTTCTAGCGGCGTAATATATAATAAACGTGGTGCTCTAGGGGTAGTTACTATCTTTATAATTCCCTAAAACCCTAATAGTATACCTATTTAGAAGTATATAATAGTTATATATAACTATATTCTAGGCGCGTGTCTATATAGTATATACTATAGTTACAATTATAGTATAAGTGTTATCTAGGATATATCCCTAGTATATATCTATACTACTATAAGACTTAGATTTTAGATAGTGCTCTTATAGCTAAGTTATAATTATATTTTTATTAATATTATACTCTATACTAAGCCTAAGCTATTACGCGTAGATAATACGCTTATATACTAGTATATTCTACTCTAAACTAATATACTTCTAGGAAAGAGAAGTTGCTATCTTCTTAATATAACTAATAAGCCTCTCTAAAGACTATTAGGTATAGTATATAGGTAGTCTAAAATCCCTAGTATTAGATATAAGGTAGAGTAGGTAATAAATCTAAATAGAGTAAGATAGTAACTAGTCTACTTTACTATAGTAGTAGAGTAACTTATACTAGCAAATAAAATTCTCTACTAATAGTTCTAACTTATTAATCTAGTTAACTGTAAACTCCCTCTAGCTTATATAGAAGAGTAGTTTATAGTAGTATAGGAAGTTATTAGTATATTCCTTCTAAAGATAGACCTATATAGCTAGCGCTCTATAAGTAAGTATAAAAGTCTACTATTTAAATAAAGTCTATATCTTATATATTATAGTGCTTTATAGGGTAGTACTAACTTAGGTTAGTACTAAGGAATAGGACTTGTAAAGACCTTTATTAATTAAAGCCTAATTAGTATTAGTAACAAGCTATAGTATAGTCTTATTATTAAATTTATCCCCTTTCTAGAGTTAGAATAAGGCTTTAGGTATATTATAGGATATTACGTGTATAATATTAATAGGAAAGCTATAAGGAAAGTGTATAGTAGGGAGGTCTAATAGGATAGAGTAGTAGTTAATACTAGTATCTTAGCGTAAGGTAGTATATCTAGAGGCTAGTATATTAGTCTATTATTTATATATATCTTTAATAGTAGTAGCTAAATTATTATATATAACTAGGTAAAGGGTATCTCTATTTAGGAAAGAGTATTTACTAGTTCTCCCCTTAGTTCCTTTATATAGGTATAGGCGGTAACTCCTTTTTAATATACTAGGCTATTTTATTCCTATAATCTCTACTATAGCTAGCCTATCTCTAGTTATTAGTATAAGGTAGGTATAAAGGATAAATTCTTCCTAAGTGTCTATATTATATATATAAACTCTAACTATAAGTTAGTATAATTCCTCTACTATTAGGTATAGCTAAGTATCTATAATTTTTTTATTAAAAGTACTAGGTATAATAGTAGTAACAAGTGTATTATAGTCTTGATCCTAAATAGATAGGTAAAGGTTCAAGATATATAGCACTACTAGTATAATGCTTTATTATTTCTTAGGGTTCTTTAATATACATACTATATCTAATATAAGTTATAAAGCTAGATCCTTAGGGTCTTAGAAGTATCCTTTCCTACTATATTCTTAAAACTAGTCCCTGTTATATATATCTTAGTGCAAAGTATATTTGCTAGTAGGGTTAAAAGTTACCTAATACGCTTTTAATTATTATAACTAATAACTATTATTATACTAGATATATAGTTATAGAAGTATAGGGATATATTACTATTAATATTTTAATTTGCCTTTCTTATTATACTAAGCTCTACTATAGGATAGGCACGTATAAGTAGTGTTAAGGTTACTAGTAAAGGCTACGCACCTATTAGTATAATAATTAATAGATAGAGGAGTTATAGTATCCTAGAATAAGGTATGTAGTGTATACTACCCCTAGTAGATAGTATTACTAATATTAATATTATAGCATTTCTTTAAAGTTTATTATATCTTTTAGAACTTCTTTCGTAGAGTACCTATAAATATAGCGTATATATTAAGAGAGGTAGTGTAAAGTTATTAAATACGCTCTATTTACTTATAATATAGTATATATCCTATTTACTATTATATATCCCCTAAAAAGTCCTCTAGGTATAGAACCTCTTTATCCTTGTCCGTGAGTTATATATTATTATTATAGTTGTCTATTAGGTCTATACTATTACTAGTAGAATTACTAGTAGAATTATAGGAAGAATTAATGTTAAGTACTCCTTATATGTTATTAAGGTGTAATAGTTAACTAGTAGGGCAGCTAGTAGTCTATAGTATAGCGGTATCTTTAGTAGTAGTAAAGGGAATATTTTATTTATAGCACCTTTACTAGTGTTATATATACTACTTTTAATTTACTTTATAGCGTGTACCTTAGTATAGAGTAAGATAATAATAATACTAGAACTTGTTCTATTAACTAGATATTTATAGGTAAGGGGTAGCAATTACCTACTACGTACTATCTATAATAGTTTCTACGTTAATATAGCACTTAGGGATATAGATAGTAGATATATGTTGCAGGAGGGATATTAACCAGATCATGGAGCATCTTGATCTAATTAATCCTGATCAATACCCCTGTATGACCCACTATCTGATTAACTGCCAGCTTACTGCTAAGTGCCTAACAAAAAGCAGGAGCTCTAGTAAGGAAGGTTTACTAATTATTTACCTTCTAGTAAGGGTAGCTAAAGCTCTATATATATAAGTACGATTATAGTAGATATAATCTAATAATCTATCTCCTAAATTATTCCTAACCTTAGTAATCTAAATTTCTATAGTTATAAGCCTAGTTTACACTTTACCTTATTAAAGATTGTCCTATATATTTAAGTATATTATTTAACTTAGACACTAAGCTAGCAAGCTTTACTCTTTCTTTATACTATTTCTTAAGCAGAAGCTTACTTATTACTCTTCTACTATAAGCAACTAAATCCTAAAGGGGGATATCCTACTTACTAGATTAACTAACTAGCCTACCTAGTACATTTAATTCAGATACCATGCCCTAACTAAAGGGATCTAGGTAGAGGTAGACCCTAAGGCTCTAGATACTAAAAACCACTTTAAGAATAAACCTATTAAGCCTAACATGCTAACAGATATTGCGCTATCTAATATAACAAGCAAGCAGTACAAGCTCTAAATAGCTTAGTACTAAGCCCGCTTATTAGATTAGGCATTAAAGTTATTAGTAATCTAGAACCTCTTTACATAGGTTAATAATATAGTAGATTAAGGGATCCTTACCCTAGCCTATATAGAGCTTGTTAATTAAGGAAGAGTAACCCTCTAAG